CTCTAAGAAATTGTCTTCCAGAAGAATAGGGAGAGGCATTTTTCAATGACTGGTTTGTAATGTCACTTTTTCATAAATGCAGCATGTCATCTGTAGATTTGTTAGTCCAAAGAGCCATTTGTTAGTGAAAAGAGACTGTTGCTGGACATTATTGATATATTATCACCATCGAGTAATTTCTTTGCCAAGGAGCAGTGAAACACTCCCCTTTCCATCAGTTACATTCAGCTGATTTCAAAAGAAGGATTCCAGGCTGCTGTTACAGATATTAAATCTGGTGAGGGCGCGAGTTGTCGGCGTCACGGTGCCCTCAAAGGGCACATGTCCTCAAAGAGGCTGTTAGTTTTCTTTCCAGACTAGTTTATTTCCACGGAAAAATAATGAATGGGCTCAGAATTAGCCTGTGAAATAAATTACACTGGTCCCTCCTGATTCATAAAACATGTCCTAAGATGTCAAAATAGTTTAGCCTCTTGTTTTCAAAAGCGATGCTTTATCATGCTGCCAGCGGTGAGGGATTGAGCGCCCGGCTAGAAGCAGATAATAAGAACAAAGTCATATTTTAAATCAATGTATTTTAAAGTTCATGACATCAAATTTCACTTCCCATGCTCTATTTTGCAAATTCTTCTGGATTGCTAAAGGGATAAACGATGCACTTCTTATTCCTGAAGAACAAACCGAAACTCAAAGAACATGTGAAGCTTGTTGAAAGAGAAGTCTAATCTGCAGCAACTGCACATTCCTCGCGCCTCCTTGCATTTCATAAAGGCCTCTCCGTCCTGAAGACCAGGGGAGAATCTGCTCATCCATTTCCACCGCACTAGCATTTCACGTGCGTGTTCCTCTCCCACTTACTCACGGCAGGTTTGAGGAAGATTGGCTTCTGGGGTTCAGAGGCAGTGAACCCCAGCCCAGCTCACAGTTGCTCGGGCCCTGCTGGGTGGGCGCAGGCCCGGCTGTGGCGGTGCATCCTGGGCCCACACTCCCGGGCACGGTGCTCTCCAGCGCGGCCAGGTCCACACCCAGGGGGCAACAGAGGAGAGCCTCACGGTCACCCCTGCACCCCCTGTGAGGATGGAGAGCGGTGCTCCTCAAGCTAATTCTGATTTCGGATCTCTCTAATGAATAAATTAAGGAATATTTGGTGTACAGAAGAAGATTTGGGAGTTTTATTTTCCAGAGACATTTTCCAAATGAAAGAGGAGAGTATTTGAGAAGTTAAATAATAAATCATTTTAATACTGGGATAAAATTGTACACATATTTGTTAATATATATACTCACCTACATGATATATGCTTTGTAGTTAAAGAAACAAAGCCATTATTACACACTACTGATTTCTATAAAAATAATTAAATACAACAATATGTTCATAATGCACATAAAATATACCTAATTATAAAAGTATGCTTCAGAAAAATGCTTTATTTTAATATTAGCCCGCCAAGGTGGCTTTATGGAAAGATTTTTTTTTTTTTAAATAGTTTCTTTCTTTTTTTTTTTTTTTTATAGAGGCATGCTTTATTATTTGTTTGCTGGTTTGTTTGTTTGTTTTTGTTTATACATGCACTGGGTACAGTCAGAAGCGCGGGAGGTTGAGAGAATTCACCAGAGCCAGAGCGGGGAGCAGAGCAGGCAGAAGGACGGAAGTACACTGCTGAGGGGAGCAGCGGGCGGCAGGAGAGGTCTGCATCCATGCGGGACTCCTCCGGGGGCCGGGGAGCAGCCGGGGATCGAACCGGCGTCGCAGAGGCCGCGGGCAGCTTCGCAACCCAGCGCTCAACCGCTGCGCCACCGGGAGGCCCTTTATGGAAGATTTATTTCTGCAATAAAATAGATATTAATTTGATTATAGATTTGAAGTCATTATGTAACCTAAAAGTATATGCTGTAGAAAGAACAGGCTATTTCTTGAACGGCCTTTCCACTTTGACATGTTCTTCTTTTTAAAACTTTTTCCATGAGTAAGTTTTCCAAGTTGTTTTTACTGAGTCAGTATATGTGTGACAGAGTTTCTATTCTTATCTGGTTGAAGTTGCGTCACCCGGATCTCATAATTCTCACTGG